AAAACAATAAGCTTAAACGCTAAACCGTTTTCCATCAACTCCGAACTACCTAAACTCTTTTTTCGAGATTCCATTCGCAAGAACAAAAGAAAAATGTTTGCGGCAGAAACCCTTCAAGAGGGATTAAGAACCTAGTAACCAAATCATAACATTACCGCGTAAATTACTTACTCAACCATTCAACTCTTACGAACGCAATGCTTTAGAAAACGAGATAAAATGTAAAAGGTCTCCACTCGGAATTTCTAATAAGAATAGATTCGAAAGCCATTGAAATCATGCTGGCATCATTCAACAAAATATCTGAGACAAAGGCCATATCTACCCAATAGACGGTTGACATAGAAATAATATTACTAATAAAGAGCAAGTTAGACTATTTTAGACCTATTTTCTCTCACAAACATACTGGTTAAACTTAATAAAAGAATGATTAAAACAATGAAGATCTGGTTCCATGAAATCAATGATATTCTTTGAAACGAACAAACAGGTTTTACACCGCAAAGATTAACGAACCAATATGTTGCCACCCTATCCTAGTATGAAAAGAGAAGTAAATTCTAAAATTAGCGGAGGTTGGTAAAAAACATAGCATGCTAAATTTGATAACACCATCCATTTGACAGAGATCTTGTTAATCAGCAAAGGAAACGGTCTGTCCAATTCTAATCTTTTGCAAACAAGACTACAACGGGGAGCTCTCACAATGACATCAATGACATAGCTGAAGTGGCAAAGGCAGTCACGGTAATCAAGTGCTTACTTTATGCTGATGATCTTGTTCTATGGTAGTTCAACCCCAAAGAGATTGCTCAGAAGTGAACGGAAAGGGACCTAGATTATGAGCCTAAAAAAATTAGCAAATTGGTGCGATAACAGTGGCGCGGTTTTTTACACATCAAAACCTGCATAGCAAGACTTTTCATTAGCCACCACAGCATAATGTAGAAGAATACTTTTCGAGATGAAATCGTCGTCTGAACTTGGCTATGATAAGTTCGATTTTGCCTCCAAATTTTGCCAGAGGTCACAAATCGAATGACGCTGTCTTCTCTTGAATTAATTGCAGTGGCTACATGACGTAGCTACTTCACGACACATTCAAGGGTATTTCGTTCAAATATTTTTCTCATATTTTATTTCATCCAACCTTTTTGTGATTATTGTGCTTTCTGTTCTTCAAATAAAATAGCAAAACGAAGCTTTGTTAAATTAAATCCATAACTTATGATAATCTATAGGGCTGCAGATTTATGGTCCAAAAGTCAAGAAGGGTGTGCAGAGAAATAAATAAAAAAGTCAGAAACCCCTTCGATGTGCGTAAGAACACAAGCTAAATTGAACAGGTTAAAGTTCCTTCTTGAGAGCAGAAATTTTGCGGCCAAAACCGTTTGACTTAATGATGTACGTACATATGCATTTTTATGTTGTTACATATCCAAACAAAGAAGCAATAGAAAGGATAATCATGAAAAGCAACTGCTCTCATCAAGTCCTTTTGGCATTTGAGATATTTCGAAGTACAATTTTGAGAACTTGAATGCCGATAGTAAATTTTGGTTCATTTTATTCTCCAGTTGTGAGTCAAAGCCAACAATAATTTGAAATACATTGCAATTTTAACTCTTATCACTGTTTGATGTTCTATTTTTCTTTTTATTTTAAGTCCATTGCATTATTTATCCACGAGATTAATCACTTGTTTTAGGCCAATCAGCCGTCATCTAAATAAAACCTGGCATTTAGAAAATGGTATATATTTGGTTACTGAACTTTGTGGTGGCAAGTTAAATTTTAAGGTTCTCGTTGTTACATAATGAAGGCGATGTGCAGCTGGCTTTTCATCGTCATTTATCTACTCTCAAGTGTTATTGTTCGTTCAGAACAAATGAGTTCATATTCGACCTCCCCCTATCCGGGACTATTTTGCGGTGCTCTCAAAGACTATCGCGGAGAAAATGGAGAAATTGATGAAGGAAAATTTTATTCAGATGTGTTTGGTGGCAATAGCAGCAGTGATGATAATGAGGAGGATGAGGATGAAGAAGACGAAGATGATGAAGATGAGGAGGAGGAGGATGAAGAAGATGAGGAGGAGGAAGATGAGGAGGAGGATGAAGACGACGATGACGAGGAAGATGATGATGAGGATGATGAGGATGGAGATGAGGAATAAGAGAATGAGGATGGTGCTGCTCATTGCTCTGCAAAAACCTTGTCACTGTTATTTGAATAGTACAAATTTTATCATTTTTTACGCCGTCAATTTTTTTCCTTTGTATTTTTATTCGGTGGTGGTAAAAGTAGAAATTTTGAAGCCTGCACGAACCTTTTCGAAATGAATTTATAATATCTTCCTAAATATCAATTGATTATTTGAAAGAGCGATTTGTTTAAAATGGATGGCATTATTTTGGATTGTAAACTAACATTTTGATACTTGCACCATAGGTTTTCATTGGGCGAGGCAGGCTTTATGATAGTTAACATTAGCCTCTTTAGTTGACGTTGTGTTTCACTGAGAGGAGGAGGGGGTGGGGGGTTGTGGGGGTGGAACGAGAAGGTCGCATGAAGTAGTGAGGAAAACTGAAGAATAATTCGCAGATGTGAAAAGTGACAGAGGTAGAAGACAAAGGAACTATAGAAGTTGTCGAATATGACATTCTCTTGAGCCATGGAAGTTAGATGTCAAAAGTCAATTACCCGTTTATAGACTTTTTGATTTATGAATGTCCGTTATCAGGGTGCACCACGTGAAGGCAAGCATATCTCAATCTTAAACAATTTGGATCAATGAAATTATGCACACCTTATCTTGCCCTTCTATCATATCGATTTTCGAGGATACGATTTTCAACTGGCCGATAGAATGAAATATTCTAATTTTTACGGCTGGTTTTGATACAATGCGGTAAATTTGAATCCCTCAAAAAAAATGAATTTTGAAACGCTTTTATGGTTGTGTCATAGAAATCACATCTAAGGTGATGTTTTCCAAATATCTCAGAATGAAAAAAACGAAAGCCGTCTAGTGATCTAACATAGTTAACCCAACATTTAAAAAATCTATATAGCCCTTTTGGCACATATTTATTCTGATACATCCTTTTTTGCATTAAAGTAAACGATATGGTTTTGCGACTCAGAAATCTCTGTGGCAGATTCTCCAACATCTAACTAAACCCCCAGAACTAGCTCAGCTACAGCCCAGCTAAAGAGAATACATACAAATACATGACACGGAAAACATCTATTCAGTAGGTATCTTTTCGATAAAGTGTACACGTAGGGAGATTAATCATAACCAGTATGGCGGATAAAGTTAAACAAACAGAGGCTTCTGATCGGCCACTTGTCGCACGGTTGCCGTCCGCGGAGTTGTATAGCGCACCTCCCGTTCCTGATGATGTGATGACGCGTAAATCGATGACGTATCCCATAGGAGTTTGGTACCTTAGATTCTTCCATAGTAGAAAGTTTATAATTGACCTATGCTTGTGGTAGCAATAAATTTGATTTTCGAAAGAAGTTTAAAAAATAAATTTTTTGCTTAACTTGGTAGAAATTTCCAAGTTTAGCTAAAATTTCATTTTACTCAATGTGGGTCATATATAGTGGCGAGCTATCGAACTCTACGAAGTTAAATATTTTTGCTCACAATAGAGTAATTGATGCTTCGGTTGATTTTTTTAATGCGTAATTAAGTTAAAATAAACAAGGATTTTTTTGGATTGTAATAATAAATGTTGAAAATTGTATTCACATAGTTTCTATTAACTTAAATTTTACTAGTCAGTTACTTCATTGGTACACTCGCTAACAGAGGAATACAATGCTTCAAGATAGGTACCCCTCTCCAATGTCTTTTCATACAATGAAGACTCCATTCAGAAGCAAGATGGAGGACATTGGCACTCTCCGACATAGCCGGCTGGCAAAGAATCGAAGATGCTGCAGAGTTTAGATTGCTTTTCGGACGCGATTGCCTAACGAAACGCATTCACAAAATAGGATTTGACGCCCATTGCATATGCGCAATATGCGACTTCCAGGTGGAAATACAGAGGGCAAACTTGATTCGGTGTCCTGCCCTAAAGATATGGACAGAGACCCAGTGATACTGTTCTAAAGCCTTAATATATGTGCTTCCTCCTTGCGAAAGCCGAAGTCAACTAAGGAGCAAATGCGAACTATTCCAAACCCTATATACCTCGCATTTACTTACTTTCTATTGGCTTGAATTTTACTAATCTATTTTTCACTCAAGCGAGATGTAATAAAGCAATGGAAGGGATGTTGATTTTGGAGGACAGTGGAAAATGAAGAAGTTTAAGATGAAAAACAGGAAAGCGATGACGATTGCAAAGATGAGGAGATGGTAAATGATTAAGACTTGTATTATCGACTTCTTTCTTCATTTTGAAAGATTCCATTTTCGGTAAATGTTGCCAAAGTTTAGTGACATATATTCATTTTGGTCTAAATTAAAGGCCATTAATATAAATTTTTTACTATATTTGAACAGTATTATTACTTAATACAAACGTCTTCACCACAAAATATTTACTATTTTGTACGGAAAATGGTCCCCTCATTTTGATTCATAATGACCTTTGAACGTCATACTTCAGTATTCAATCAATAAGTTTTTCCATTAATTGCAAATGACAAGGTTAAAAAGAACTAATCTGTCTCCTATCTAAAACCAATTTTATGCGCTAAACTAATGACCTACGATAAAGTTAGAAAAACATTTTTTTATATTTTTTTTATAAAATCGTCACTTAAAAAATTTTTCTCCGAGGTCTTCAGTTTCGAAGATTTCATTCTAAAGAAGGAAATGAAAACACAATGATCAGCTTCTTAATGATTGCTTATAAACAGCTTGTCACATTTAGTCTTCATAATAAATGATGTTAGTAACAATTATAGGTGTTAAGTTTAATATTAGAACAAATCAATGTTAAGGAGAACCAATGTTTCAACAGTCATAAAAATTAAAAGCATATTGAATATTGACTTATATGATGGACACGAGCTCTTTCAATTCAATTTGATTGACATTGCGGACTGAATGCTTATGAAATTAACTTTATTATGGTAAACATTAATTAGGCTTCAAGGACAATTGAAAAAGAACGTAAATTGAAATCTGATGTTATTATAAAATGTGTAAATTAAGTATTATTGATAATATATACGTAGTGTTTCTAGATCAGTGGACAATTAGCAATCGAATCACACGGGGTAAAATTTCACCGTTTTTGGTGAAAAGTCTCCGATTAATTTAAGAAAAATAAAATCAGGGAAATACTGAAATTTTCTACAAACACCAAGTTATTTATAATCTCCAGTTCCCTTTTCTGAGAGATATGAAGTGAACCGGGAGAGACAATTTGACTACTTTCTTACTCAAATTTGTCATATTTATTGCATATAGCCACCCTTATGTATTCTACATCAACAAAAATCATATATCCATGACCTTAGAAGTGTTCAAAGCGCTGAACAACTGGAACCAAAATTATTTTACACGCAACAGACAATACCAATTGAACCATTGCGCTAAAAAAACAGTGAGGTGCTTCTTTGACACATTGAAATTATAAATGCGTTGATTATATTTTGCGAGAATGATTGAGTAGTTGAAATGGAAAGTAATTAATCACCAGAGGCTGATTTAGAGACCAATTTCTCGGGTTTTAGTTATCACACATCCATAAAGCATTGTCAAGGGCTTTTCTGATTTCATTTCCAACTTATTGACAAAAAACTGGTTTTAAAAGTTGAAGCATTGCATGAATTCTTCTTTTGATTAGCTTAGCTAATGTTTTAGCGGCCAATTGAAACTAAACACGGTCTATTGTAGAGTGCGCAAAAGCTTTGAAATTAATTAAATTGGCTTTAAAAAGAATTTTTGGGCCCTACATGTCCCATACCTTGTTAGAACATCTTATTCACATTTGTTCCAAAACTGGATTCTTCTGAAGCTTTCTGGGATTCTCCGTTTTCTTTATGTTTGGCATTTTGCTAAGTCCATATTTACAAATCCGCAGTTCACTTGTATACGTTATCATTTCAAATGGCAAGCTTAATGATATTTATCGTTTCCCTCGTCCCTATTGGCATTTTCAATGTAAAAGAGATACATAAATAAAGCAAAATGTGCTGATCTTCAAGGAAACCAATTTAGCCTTATTATCCAGTTTAGTATTTCAATTGATTTGAAATTTTTAAACGCCCTACTGTTGATCATTTAAGTAAAAAATTCTAATCAATCACTGTTACTATTTAGAGCAACATATACATATCATTTAACTGTCGCAATCTCAGCTAGCAGCATGAACTTTCAGTGTTTCGTTATGCAATTATAGCTGACCGATATGCCATTTCTCAATCTAGGCCAATTTTAATCCCCTTATTGTTGCTCTATATCATCATGGCTCTCAGTGATTTCGATTTGCCTACTCTCAAGTTAATTTAAATACGTACGCTCACTTGATCAGAAATGTAACATCTAAATTTAATTCATAATGCAATTTTAAAAGTTCTCTTGTGCACATGAAAGTGACAACCTCACAAGCAAAGACCCTGACCAAATAACAGAGTATTTGTGGACAATGGTGTCGATTGGAGGACAACAATATCGTAATTGGTTATAATCTTAACTTTCACACTTGCTGATTGTCATTTTTTGTACGCCCTTGGGTCAAGAATTATTAATTACTGGCAATATGAATGATTTCAAAGTGATATTGTTAATTACCACCCTTGTCTTTTTATTTAGACATTTTCAATTACTTTGCCAACATATAAAACCTGTCCATTAGAAAAAACAAGGTGATGAATATAATGGCTATCCCAATCCACGACTTATCAAAGTTAGGAACACTAAATTTTCTACCATCTCGTTTGGTCATGAAATTTTTTTCTTAAATTTTAATATGAAATAGTAAGTCCGAAATTAACTAATAATGATTAGTTTTAAGTCATTTTGACAATATTAAATTGTTTTCTATGCGTTTTATTTACACGTTTTATTAATAAAATAAGTCATTTGACGATTGCTTTTCTTCCGATTTGTGAGTGAAAATTAAATACAAGCAATCGATTTCGTTCAGTAAATCTCTTTTAAGTTAAAAAACAAGTTGCTTCAATTCTCATTTATTTGATCGA